CTCCCATAACCGTCTTCTCCACCCCCTCCCACTTCCACTCCCATCTCTCTCCATTTTCCTTCTACCCTTTCCCTTCCCTCCGTTTCTTTTCCTCTCCATCTCCTTCCCTTCCTCCTTCTTCCGCCTCCATTACTTTCCCCTACTCATCCTACCCCATCATCTCCCTATCCCCTTACTCATCTTCCCGCATCCTCTCACCCTTCTTTTCCCGACAATAGGGCCCCTTATCACGCCCCGTCTTACCCAAAGGTCCACACTGCAGCCTCTTACCCCGCAAGGCCCTATCTGACTTCTCAAAAGGTCCGATCACGCCCCTCTTTACCCCGAAAGCTTCCGATCACGACGCGTATGCCCTCTTTAACCTCGAAGGTCCCAGTCACGCCCAATTCTACCCAAAAGGTCCCACACGCCGTCTTTACCACGAAGCTCCCATGACGCCCCTCTTTAACCCCCCAAAGAGCTCCCATCAACGCCCCTTTTACCCCAAAAAGCTCGACACCCCACGCCCCTCTCTACCCCAAAAGCTCCCATCACGCCCCTCTCTACCCCAAAAAGCTCCATCACCCCAAAAGGTCCCCTCACGCAGGTCCCTCACGCCCCTCTCTACCCCAAAAGCTCCATCACGCCCCTATCTACCCCAAAAGCTCCATCACGCCCCTCTTTACCCCAACAAGCTCCCATCACACGCCCTTTTTACCCGAAAAGCTCCATCACGACACTTGTCCCCTTTTTAACCGCCGAAGAAGCGCCTCCCATTGCACGCCCCTATGCTACCGCCAAAAGGTCCATCACGCCCTCTTTACGTACCCGAACTCCATCCACGTTTGTACCCCTTTTACTCGAAAAGCTCCCATTCACGGATCTATCCCTATCTAACCCCAAAAGGTCCCACCACGCCCCCTCTACCAAAAGCTCCATCACGGCCCACAATCTACCCCAAAAGCTCCCATCACCGCCCCAATCTACCCAAAAGCTCCCTCACGCCCCCAATCTACCCCAAAGCTCGCCCCAATCTACCCCACCCCTCCCCCAATCTTCCCATCACGCCCCCAAAAGCTCCCATCACGCCCCTCTTTACCCCAAAAGCTCCCATCACTCCAACTAATGCCCAAAAGGTCCCGTCCCGTGAGCGAAGGTGATCCCTATGATGATTGACAGCCATCATGGGAATCGTCTCGAGAAACTTCCGGAACTTGTGTGGGGTGTGGTGGGTGGTAGATGGGGGAGAGGGGAGCGGGAAGAGGTGGAGGAGGAGGGAGAGAAGGAGGAGGTGGTGGTGGTAGAGGGAGGAGGAGAAGGAAGAGTAGGAAGCAGTTGGTGTGGAGGTAGGAGGAGGAAAGAGGGGGAGAAGGAGGATGGTGGGGTGGTGGTGGGGGGTGGAGGAGGAGGAGGGAGAGGTAGATGGGGGAGGGAGAGGTGGAGGAGGAGGAGTTAGAACGGTAGGGAAGAAGGCGGAGGAGGAGTAGGAGGAGTAGGAGGGGAAGATGAGGAGGAGGAGGAGTAGATGGAAAGGAGAGGAGGAGGAGGTGTGGAGGGAGAAGGGGGAAAGAGATGGAGGAGGAGTGGGAGAGAGAGGAGGAGGAGGACGAGAAGAGGAAGAGGAAGAATAAAAGAAAGGGAGAGAAGAAGAGGAAAGGGAAAAATGGAAGGAAGGGAACGAGTAGGGTTGGAGGAAGAGAAGGGGAAGGAGGAGGAGGAAAAGGAGAAGGGGAAAGATAAGGAGGAAGAAGAGGAGAAGGTGAAAAAGGAAGAGGAGAAGAAAGAGGGAGAATAAGAAGAGCAGATAGAATAGTAGTAGTAGTAGTAGGATGAGGAAAAGTGGGGGGGATAGATCAAGGATAAGGATAAGGAGGATGAAGAGGAGGAGGAGGAGGAAAAGGAAGAAGATAAAAGGAGGAAGAGGAGGAAAAAGGAAGAGAGTAGGATAAGAATACGGAGGAAGAATGAGTAGGAGCGGAGGAAGAAGAGAGGAAGAAGAGGAGAAGGCAACGAAGGAGGAAATGGTGAGAAAAGAGGAAGAAATTATGGAAAAGAGAGAAGGATGAAGTGGATGGAGGAGGAGGGGGAAGGAAAGGAAGTGTAAGAGGGAGGAGGAGAAGGAGGAAGAAGAAGATGAGAGAGGACAGAGAAAGATAGGGAGGAAGAGAAAGCGAGGAGGAGAGAGGAAGAGGATGCGTAGAAGGCAACGGAGGAAAAGGAGAAGGAGCAAGAGGAGGAGGAGGACGAAGAAGAGGACAGGAGGAAGAAATGGAGGGAAGAAGGGCGAGGATAAGGGCTAGGAAGAGAACGAGGAGGAGGTCGACGATTGTGATGATGAGGTGGAAAATTAAGAAGAGGAGAAAGAACAGTAGACAGAGGAGGATGGAGAGAAGAGGAGAGAGAATAAAGAAGGTAAGAGAAGAAGAATGGGAGAAGGAGAGAGACTAGGAGGATGAGGAGGAAGACAAGGAAGAGGACGATGACGATGACGATGATGAGGATGAAGATATTAATGATGATG